ATACAATAGATAAAGAACCAAAGGCTAGTGATCATTCAGAAGGTTTTGGTGAGATGCCTCATTTTTCATAAAAGCCTACAAAAAAAATCTCATTTGATTGCCAAAGTATTGCCACTAGTCAACCATGTCAAACAACCATCCTTTAGGTCTTAATAGAGAATTAGGAGCCAATAATTTCTTCCCTGCCCTTAGTAAAGGTCTGGTTCAAAGAAGTGTGTCAATAAAGAATTATTTTTCAACAATTCTTGTAACCCTCTGGATTTTTCTAGATGCATTCTCAGATTTAGTTAAATTTTTAGAAAACTTCAATCTTGAACAATATTTCTTTGAGATCTAATCAAATTGCTTTCAATGAGCTGAGCTATAGAGGTCATGCAACAGGTTTCATGCTATAGGACACAGCTGCAGGGAAGTTCTATTAGATTTTCTAAAAGACTATTACTGAGGCGGGAGCAGTGGTGCATGCCAGTAATCCCAGCAGCTTGGGAAGGTGAGATAGGAAGATCATGAGTTCAAAGCCAGCCTCAGCAAAAGCAAGGTGCTAAGCAACTCAGTGATGACCCTGTCTCTAAATAAAATACAAAATAGGGCTAGGGATGTAGCTCGGTTGTTGAGTGCCCCTGACTTCAATCTCTGATACCCACCCCGCCCAAAAAAAGAATATTATTGAGGACACTATCATACTCTCAATGTCCCAGATATAAAGCCCCACATCAGAAATTTTAGTTACCAATAAGAGCTTCAGAAACTAAAGAATCTCTTGCCTTTGTAGTCGAGAGAATCATGACTGACCTTCATTTCTTTCAGTAGAAAACTCAACTTGAATCTATAGATCAGCTTAGATAATTAGGTGCATACCTATTGCTTGCTTATGTCATGCCACTTCACTAACTTGTTTTTTGCCTAATGTTATGTTTCTCATGATGGTGACTTTATTTATTATTTATATTTTCTATTTGATTTTACATATTGCCATTAACTTTTGCAAAAATCTTGTGGAAGAGGACATAACAATAATTATAAAGAAAGAGGGAGGTGAATATACAAGTAAATTACCCTCTGAAATCCCACCAAAGTATAGGCCTCGATGCTAGCCTGGTTTAAGAACTCATTCATTTACTTCCAAATATGAATTAAGCATCTACTATGAGTTAGGCATTGTATTAGGGAGGATCGGAACTGAAAAGTTTTTTAAAAACTCATAGTCCTTGCCCATGGGGAAACTGAATGCCTGAGGGTGATCCAAAAGTTGGGAACCAGTAGCAATAGGTAGTAATTTCAAATATGACATCTTTGAGGTTCTGTAATTATCACAAAGCCAGATCTCTTGATGCTTCTCATAAATAAGTCAGATATAGAGGACAGTATAATGATCAATTCAAATTGTCAACTTGATTGCATTAAGAGTTGGCAAGGATTAAGAGGCTTGGTGTGTCAATGAGGGTGTGTCTAGGAATGATTGGCATGTGGCATAGCTAACTGAAATGGAGATCCTCCCTAAGCATGAGCAGCACCATCCAATAGGATGATGGCTTGGATGGAATAAAAGTTGGAAGAACAAGGAAGCAGCAGCAGATGCATGCTGGATTCTTCTTGAATGTGTTCGTTCTTGATGGCTCCTGTGAAGGTCTGAGGATCTTCACTCTTCCAAAGCAGATTCTGCCAGTGATTCTTCAGAAGCCTTTGGTTTCATACTAGGGTAGAACCATTGATCCCTCTTGTTCTGGAGCTTCAGCCTCTTGGACTGCACAGCAACTGGTTCTTCCAGCTCTCCAGCCTGCAGATGGCCACTATAGACTCTCCAGCTTCTGGTTGCATAACCCAACCTAATAATTCCACCTTTTATAATTTTACTTCCTGTTGATTCTATTCCTCTAGAGAACTCTAACTAATATAGGCAGATTTTAGGTGAATATGCTCTTTAGATTCCTGGCCAGGGACTTACACAGGATTCATACCATCTCAGTTCTGGAGATATTGTTGTCAAAACCTGCCCTCAGACCTGTGTAAGGTTAGGCAGTGGTGCCCAAAAGGACGCAGATTAAAAAGGTTGCTGAACAAGGATTTATTGAGATTTTGCTCTGGGCAAGACCCTCCAGACCAACAGGATGGGTCTGGGAGAAGCGCGAAGGGCTGGACCAGACTGGAATTTTTATTGGGCTTAGGGCAGGAAGGGAAGGCTTGGGACAGGAAGGGGGGGGGGAGTTAGAGGAGTTGGCTAAAATCCAGGATGGGTCAGGAGACCCTGCTGATTGACAAGCGATTCTGTCAGCACCTAATTGGTGGTTCTTTCACACGCAATGGACCTAACAACCTGGATTTCCATTTCCATGCTGACCAATTCATTTATCCTCTACCAGGCCAACACTTATAACTCTGGTTTGTGATTTGGGCTAATTTTACTTCGGAACTAATTCTTTGCCTCCTTTTCCTTATGTCACCTGCAGTCTTTATTTGTACAGTTGGATAAACTTTGACACCTGTCTTTCAGGGCATGCCAAGGTCCTCCAATTCTACAAACTGTATTTCTCCATCTGTCAAGGATAAGAATAGAAGTCATCTACATTGTCAACCTTAAAACTTCTATTACCAGGGAAAAACCTAAATAAACTCTCTATTTTCCCTTACTGTTAGTTGACTTATAAATCACTAATTTTGGAGGTCACACAGCTGGACAAAACATTATTAGCCTCCCATTTGCTGTAGACAACATCTCTGATGTGTGGGTTATGATGATAATGGTTGCCTAGGTTACCATTCAGGGACCTGAAAGCTACTCCTTTTGCTGAAAACACTGATTTTTCATTTGAGCCTACAGATGTCCAGTGGGTGACCAAAAGAGGATGAAAATACTTGGAATCTTTGTCTTTATATTGCGTCTGCCTCTTTTGTTGCCTTAACCTTTGGGTCAGATTCCACTCAGTATGCATAGACACGTTGCTCATTTGAGAAATGTTGTGTTCAAAACTATAATAGAGGGTTAAGTTGACCTAGACTTGCCTAATCATTCCCCTTCTCCCTTTTCAAGATTAAAAACACCTACCAGCTACCATGACCAGAAACACCAGACTGTGAAATGTGAAAAGAGGTAGTACCTGAGTTCCTGAAAGTTCTCTGCCTATTCCCAGAAAAGACATGATTAATATTCTCCTTTACTAGCTTATATGTCTCTTTCATCATTCCTGTCCTGTATCTGTAACATCCCAGTCCCCTGGAGTTGAGAAACTGCTTTGTGAACAAAGATCTCTCTTCATTCTTTCACCTCTAAATGAAGCCTTTCTTTATCCCCAACATTTATCTCTGATACTTTGGCATGAGCTTCTGAACCTGGGTTCAGTAACACTTCCAGTTCTGACCCACATTTTTTCCTGACAGTTTCTGAGTTTTCTACCATCCTTCTTTGCTAGTCGTTGCCAGCAGGGGGCTCTGTACCCTTGCCACCAAGTAGTAGGAGTTCCTCCTACCACTTAGGATGTTCTTCGTCTCTTTTCCCAAGAGTTACCTTTCCATACCCCAGCATTCCTGGCAAATGTGGTTACTGATTCCATTACCTTAGGATCTAGATTCCAAAGAAGATGCTTGAATTGCTAATGCACATGTTCAGAAATACATTGTAATAATAAATCCTTTTAGCTTCTCTAAAGTCGGGGTCCCAGATACTTTTTTTAAAATTTATTTTTTAGTGATAGTTGGACACAATACCTTTATTTTATTTATTTTTATGTGGTGCTGAGGATGGAACCCAGAGCCTTACACGTGCTAGATGAGCGCTCTACCACTGAGCCATAACACCAACCCGGAGATACTTATTTTAAAAATGTAAATAAACCTGCCCTTCTGCAAGTTTTCGTCTATGGAGTTTTAGCAAACTGCAGTACTGTAAGCTAAATGTACATAGGTATTATTTTCTTAAAAAATAATTATATGTTGTCTTCCATTTACCAAATAAGTCACCTCAAGAAACTTCCCAAATCACTTGTTGAAAAGCATGAGCACTCTTCCTGGCAAATAGTCCTCAAGACACCTCTTTTTCTAAATGGAAGAAGATTTTTTTCTAAAAGGAGAAAGAAATTCCCCTTTCCATATATGGGGAAAACATTCAGGTAAATGTTAGTAATTATCTTTTGACAGATCCACATCACCATCCTGATTGTTTCAAGTGTCAGTGCTGAAAATTGAAACCACATTCAGGTGACGATGGCTCCGTGACTTCAACAAAACCCTCAAATTTAAAAGTCATCCCACATCAATACAGTATATTTCATCCGCCCCAGCCCTCCAATAATACCACCCACACTCCCTTCCCCCAACATTTTATAAAAGAAATATCCATCTCTAAGAACTTTCTACACCAGTTTCCTGGTGTTCTGAAGAATATGTTTCAAAAAGGTAATTTTGCATCCTCTTGTCAACCTTGTTGGTGCATTAAGTAAATATTAAGGCAATACCTCAATGCTGTACTTCTCCAGAGAACAATTAGGTCTATTCCATAACCAAAGCATATTTTATACACGACTCAACGCATTTCTCTATCCAGATTACTCTTTCAGACAGTTTCCACATCTGCTGTTTTCTCATTTCTTTAAGTAGCACATTACCCCAGCAACTGGCCAGTACCATAAACCATTAGTGAAAGCCTGCAGGAAAGCTGTCAAAAAGCATGTGCTTGTTGTTAATGAGCACCAAGGAAATACATTTAAGTAGGGGACATCGTGTAATTTATTTCTTTTATGCAGAGATACCACCTGTCAATGCTAAAACTGAAGTGACTGACACTGGGATTCCACAGGATCTTGAAAAATACTGACTTCATAGCCCACTCAATTAAGACAACTCTGTATTGCAAGTGACAGACAATCCTTCTTAAAATGATTTAAACAAAGGCAAATTGTGACTTCAGGATTCACATAACTCCAAGGTCCAGAGTGAGATTTGGCTTTAAGACAGTCTTGGAGCTACAGTGCAAACCCTGTCATGTCCCTGAGGAACAGGTTTCTTACCATGTCTCTATTCAATGCTGGTTCATTTTCAGTCTCCACACCAAGACTCTTGGGTGGTTCTAGAATTCTCCCACAATAACAAGATGACTGCTGCAGTTCCAGCACATTCTATCATAACACATCATCCAGGCAGATACAAGAAGTACCTGAAGAACTGGGAAGTTTTCCTGGAAGCCCAGTCTCAGCTATGATTGAGACACATGACCAACCCTGAGCAATATTTGGTACCTAGGGAGCTAAGAGTGGGCAGCCACAATGAAAATCAAGATGAGGAATAGATTTGGGACAGTGGGAACAACATCCATTAAATCTTCCTACATATATGCATTTATTCTGTCTAAGAAATTCCCTAAGAAACCATTGCCTATCTAAAGCCATGCAAATTTCCTATTTTCAATAAAGAAAACCACTTTTCCTGGGTTCTTTTCTACTACCATGGCCTTAAATACCATCTGTGTAAGAATGCTTCTCAAAATAGCATCTTCAGGCCAGAATGTTAAAGAGATATGCTCAATGGTCTAATAGATATCTAAATTTGTTTTTCTCAGCAATGTCTCAAATTCTGTTTTAAAAAAATCCTTATATTGGATTGGGGATGTAGCTCAAGCATTAGCGCGCTTGCCTGGCATGCGTGCGGCCCAGGTTCCATCCTCAGCACCACATCCAAACAAACATGTTGTGTCCGCCAAAAACTAAAAAAAAATAAATAAATATTAAAATTCTCTCTCTCTCTCTCTCTCTCTCTCTCTCTCTTTAAAAAATCCTTATATCTTAGAGATACATATGCTGAAATATTTATAGAAGAAATAGTAAAATATCTGGGATTTGCTTCAGAATACTCCAGTGGAGGGAGGGGGAGTGGTGTATAGTATAGATATAATTAAAATTAGGTAAAGCTGAAAGCAGGCACACATGAGGTTATTATACTAACCTTTATACTTTTGTGTATGTTCGACACTTTTCATAAGAAAAATGTTTTGTTTGTTTTATGGTACGGGAGATTGAACTCACAACATCCCATCTGCTAGGCAAGCACTCTACCACTGAGCTATATCCCCAGTCTATTTTATTTTATTTTGAGACAGGGTCTCCCTAACTTATCCAGGCTGGCTTCAAACTTGCAGTGCTCCTGCCTCAGCCTCCTGATACCAATACATCACATTTTGATCAGAAAGAAGGAAAAGAGGAAGGAGGTGTACTACTCTAAGAATACAACCCAGAAATCATAAACACCCCTTCCACTCAGATCCCACTGCTCAGGACTTCATCATATGAATAATCTAGCTGCAAGCAAGGCTGGGGAATATATTATCTTTCTAGATAGTCATGTGACAATCTAAAGATGTTTAATGCTAAGAAAGAAGAGGAGGGGCTGGGGCTGTAGCTCAGTGGTAGAGTACTTTCCTAGCATGCGTGAGGCATGGGTTTGATCCTTAGCACCACATAAAAATAAACACGTAAAATAAAGGCATTCTGTCCATCTATAACTACAAAAAAAATTTTTTAAAAAAATAAAAGGAGATATTGAGGGGCAACTGATAGTTTCTGGCTTGTTCTGCTCTTCTAGTCACCCATCTATCAATGTGTCCCTTTCTTCCCACACATGTATTTCTCCTCTGGGGTCATAGAACACCAAAGTCCCATGCAATTTCTGCATCCCAGATCAAAGTTCACATTCTCTGGTTAATTCTTAGTCTTCTTTACAATGCCTACCTAAGATTCCTCATGGTCTAGTAGCTTATACTCTAAAAGATAAGTTATCTACCTTTAGTCTTCATTCTATAAATTGTAAGGTAGAAATGGGAAAGTCAAAGCCTTTTTAAAAAAAACAAAAAACAAAAAAACCGGGTCTTACTATGCTGCTTAGGCTGGTCTCAAACTCTTCAGCCTCCTGAGTGCTGGGACTATAGGCACATGCTATTATGCCTGGCCACTGTTCTCTTTTTTAAGTTTACATTTGGGAAAAAAAAAAAAAGATGGGAAACACATTGCAGCCTCTGGTTCATAGCAGTCATCAAATCCTGCAAAACAATAATTGCAAAGACTTCTTGCCCTGGAAGTAACCTAAGTTCCTAGCTTATTCTACCCAGAGTTCCTATCCCTGCTCCCTAGAGAGAAGGAAACAGAGTCTCTCCTGAGTCATTGTCCTTTCTCTCCAGAGCCCCAGGATTTATCTTATCAGAAGTTCTTCCTGCTCATTCTACTCTATGGCCACATATGAAGTAGGCTTTGTAGAAAGTGCCCTACTTGGGCAGCTTAGTTTTCAAAAGAAACTTCTGTGGTACAGTCTTGGAGGCATTTGTATGAGTAATCACACAACCGAAAGATTCCTCCAGGCATTCTTTTAAGTCCAGAGGCTGATCTTTTATGGAAAAGGTATGAAAACAGATCTTCCCTACAGCCTCCTGAGGGGAACACAAAACCACTAACACCTTGACTTCAGGCCATTGCCACCCATTCCAGACTTCTGACCTCCAGAAATATCAGACAATAAATTTGTATTGTTTCAAGCAACAAGGTTTGTGGTAATATAGCAGTAATAGCAAACTGATATAGAGCCTATTTGTTAATATAGGGAAGCTGTCATACCTCTGAACCCAAAGAAGCAGGAAAGTTGGAGAGATGAGGAAAAATGAGTTGATGAGAGCTCTGCTCCCAACATTTGAATGCATCTTCTTGTATGGTATGAAGGTAAGCACAGTAAAGCAGCAATAGCAACTTCCAAACAGGTATGTGCACAGGCCCAGGCTAGGGACACAGCAAATCTGTCTTTTGTTTCCTGGTCCAGCTCAGTGACTTCCTAATAACCGCTCTGTCCCTCATCATTCAGTCTGAAGATCCAGGATTCCCTCCACCAGCTCCTATGGCTCAGTCTTGCACCTAACTCTGCTGTAAATCTCTTGAGATTTACAGCTTCACCTAACAGACCTCTCTGCAGCTGTGGCACCATAGTACTCCCTCCACCTGCCTGGGTCCTGTGATTAACTAGAAGAAGAAATTCAGGGAAAAAAAGATGTTGTGATTAGCGGAATGAACTACCAAGGACTTGCCATCTAATACATCACACATTTGACCCATGAAATATCAAAAAATCAAAGAATAACTGTGCAGTATAACAAGTAAGAAGTATAAGAAGCTGTTCAAGCTTTATAAAACAAATGAATGTCTTGTTTGCATAACCTTCTTAAGAAGACCAACTGGGGCTCCAACTCAGTGGCAGAATGCTTGCCTAGCACTGTGAGGCACTGGGTCCAATCCTTAAAAAAATAAACAAATAAATAAAGGCATGCTGTTAATCTATAACTACAAAAAATTTTTTTTAAAAAAAGAAGACCAACTATATTATGAAGAATATAGCCAGGTGTGGTGGTGCACACCTGTAATCCCAGTGGCTCGGGAGGCTGAGAGGATCATGAGTTCAAGCCAGCCTCAGCAAAAAGCAAGGCACTAAGCAACTCAATGAGACCCTGTCTCTAAATAAAATACAAAAAAGGGCTAAGGATATGGCTCAGTGATTGAGTGCTCCTGGGTACAAAAAAAAAGTATA